TCCTGATGTGCACAGAGTAGGGGTAAGTTTCTCATCCACTAACACCTTTGAGCCCCACGATAAATTCCATTGAAGAATTTTCTCAGTTTCCCAGAGTTTTCTGGATGAGCTGTGATGCTTTAGAAACACATGGGCTAAATTCCTAGTGATTACATCTAGTTGATGTTCAGGGAACAACCCTTGATGTATGAAGTGTACTCAATGTTTTACTCACTCACATTTAGTTACTTAAACTAAAAAAAAAATGTTTAGAAATTTCTAAAAAAGTCAAACAAACCATGGGTGCACACATGGGATTTGGGAAGTTCACATCTAGTGTTGGGAAAATTACGTAAAAAAGGTCATTAGTTATAGTTACTAATTACTTAGTCAAAAAGATAACTGAGTTAGTGACTGAGTTATATTATTATATAAGTAATTAATGACCAGGGAAAGTAACTATTATTTTACTTTTTTCATGAAAATATGAACTCCATTTACTGTAAATTACCACAATAGTAAAAATATAAAGGACTAAAGAGACTGGAACATAAAATGCATCTCCAATTGTTTATTTTGAAACTGAGTAATTGAAATAAAGGGGCACCCAACAGGAGGAACTACAAACAGGAAACATTATACTAACCTAAACTATTCAAAAGTCACTGTTAGGGATGTGTATTGGTGAAATTATGGTGATACAATACACATCACGATACAGGGGAGATGATACGATAAATCACGATATATTGTGATACATTCAGTCAGACGATATCGATTTTTTTAGACTGGATTTATCATAGGAAAATTCAATAAACAGTCCAAACTGATACGTAACATGTTTTACATGAGGTATCTGAACCATAACAGAGGGATTTACACTTCATTGGTGGAAACGAAACCCACTGCACACTGCTGCCAACTAGCGGTCGGCGTTTGAATTGCACTAAAAGAAAAGAAAATACACAAAATGTTTGCTTGTAAATTCTTCCAAAAATTAGATACTCGGCTTTTGAATATCAATATAGGAAATATTCAGGAAAAATATCACGATATATTGCCATATCAATATTTTCTTACATCCTTAGTCACTGTGTGATATGAAACAAGACTCCAATCAACTCATGATTTCAAATAGAAAACACCTGCAGGGTTCTCTCAGTCTAAGTTGAATTACAGAAAAAACAAATGACTTTTACAAGATATTCACATTTATCTGACTCTCACTTGTATGTATGATTGGGTATTTTTATTAGCATTTATCTAACCCATTGTCTAGTAACAGCATGTCTATAAATAAAAATGCTTCAAAAAATGACACTAAAACAGACATAAATTTGACATTTTGAGGACTAAAGAAAAGATCAGGAACACCAATTTGTTCCAGTTGGATGACTGGAGGATGATCTAGAAAGATAGAAGAGCGTGATGAAGAATTAATAATCCGACGTCTGAGCGGTGAACAAGCGAGCGGACCTTCCTTACATGGAAAGTCCCGCTGTTACATCAAGAAGGCTACGGCTGCGCACCGCAGAGCAGATTCGTGCCTGGAACAGCAAAACTGTCGTCTTCCTCGTTCCTCACTGGCCGTGATGCGCTTGAATATAAACACCTGTCGCTTTATAGCTCCCTATCAGCTGATGACAGCTCCATCACACCTCACTGCTGAATTACAGTAACTCACGTATTTTCTTATCAGTGATGGAAACGGGGTTATGAACAAAGTGATTCATTGGATTACACGTTACTGACGTTTGTAACGCCGCTGTTTTGAACGCCGTTATTCCCATCATAAAGATATCAGTTTATTTTTCCACTCTGAAATGTGGAACTTGCAAAGAAACACAATTTTATTGTAGTTGATTTTTACAAGGTGAATATTTTGTTGCTAGGCAACAGTTTTTGGCATTCGATGTGAAACCTTAACCAAGGGCGATGGTGAAAGAGGCAGCTGGGTTGGCGTGCGTCTAACAAAGCATGGGCAGATCACAATAGGCTATATGGATAAAATGGCTATCTGCCGAGGCAAAAATTGGCTGTGTTGTTTTGAAAAATTGGCCCACATGCCGGACAGTTGATTACCACAACAAGATCGGTATGAGTGGTCAACATTACAGCTTCTGATTTCTGTAAAACTTCAAGTTTCCTTTTTAGAGTTCTGAAAGGGATGCCACTGATTTGTTTTTCTTGGATTCAAAGATGTAAAGTAATGCTGCTGTTTAATTTGATTGGTAACATGTTTGATGCTTTTGAATCGGCTTCCTCACAAACGTCTCCCACTAGCAACCGTAATTGTCCATGTTCTCTCAACACTGCTGTTCTTCTTTGTTCACTCATCATCTTCGGCGTGCGGTAGCCATTACCAGCCTCTCTGAGCCCCCTGGCAACTAGAGCAGAAGTCCATGACACTGATGCAGAATTTCCTTAACACAGTTCCCCATTTGAGCCCATTTTCTTTGTCAGATTGGGATTTCAGATATTTATAATCTGGAGGCACCGACTAACAGTATTTGCAGAAGCAAAATCAGTTTAGAACATGCTTTTTGTAATGGCTTTGACTGCGTACGATGGCCCGCAGCCTTGTCTTGAGTGGTGGAAGGATGGGTCTAATTTTGGCTAATAGGTGACTCAGCCACCATCATCGTGTGTCCCTCAGTGGGCTGCAGATGGTTGGCGATATGTGGGTGCAGGAAAGCCACAGTTACACACAATGCATCAAGCCTGTGACACACGCAGCCAATTCTGGCATTTGTCAAGCCACATCCAGCGAAAGGAGGGAGGACATAATGAGACATGCTCAGTTATAGGTGAGCAAAACACAGAGAAGGAGGTTAATCAGCGGCCAAGCTAATCGAATCATTTGTCATCAGATTAGATTAAAGCTTTGAACCTTCCCTCAGGGAGCCGCAGAGAGATGACTGGAGCATTGCAACTATCAGATAAATGTGAAGTTATACTGTGGGATAAGTGACTCGGCATATCTGCACGTGCTTGAAGATCAAGGAATGAATCATTGTGGCAGTTAAAATGCTGGGACGTTATAAAGGTATGTTTGGCCCTGAGTGCTGGCTGCAGGACGTGCAAAGGAGAGGGGGGGGGGGGGGGGGGGGGCACCTAGTAGGGAGTGTGACTGAGGCCTGGCAGGAGAGCTGCAGTGCCTAGTTTACATTCCACAGTCGACTAAGCTTCACCAACTTCTACTCTACACTCTCTCTCTCTCTCTCTCTCTCTCTCTCTCTCACTCACTCACTCACTCACTCACTCTCACACACACACACACACACACACACACACACACACACACACACACACACACGCCCACACACCAGGGGCACAACCACCTGCTTTCAGAGGGCTATGCAGACACAACAGGCACCCCCAAGTCTCGAACACCCCATGTGTTGATGTAGGTGTCCAGATTATTTTATCTGATGACACCATCTAGTGGCTGACAAGCATATCACACCAAGACGTTGGATAATTTCCGTATTTACGACCCAAAGAAACGCCTCTCGCTCATGAACGCACTCCTCTAGCCACAAAAACAGAGTTAAAACACGTTTTTATAATAATCACGTCCTTGTTTTGTTGTGTTTTCATTTATTTATATTACTTGTACGTCGCTTTGGACAAAAAGCGTCTGCTAAATACATAAACATAAACATACTTACTTTTCCATGAGAAAGATCGCCGATTCTGTAGTAAGTAAGGTACGGTCTTAGTTAGAGAAAACTCCAGTTAGCAACTTTAAGAGTATTTGAATTGAAATGCACTTCCAGTTATTTTACCTCACATGGCCTCAAAAAACAGACATGAGAAAAGGTCAGAGGTGAAAAAGATGTCTGGGAAGAAACGGAGGGGCACCGAAATACTGACACGCTGCTCTGTTATTAATTACATAATTTACACATACACAAATGGACAAGTACACACCTGTTACATCGCTTTGGCGCACACACACACACACACACAGGAACTGATATTTTTGTTTCAGTTTTTCAAGAGCATAGATCAGCACCTCCTCTGTGTTCTCTGTGTACAAATTTCCCTTAAACTCTAAAACCCTCCATCATAAGCATTCTCTACATCAACACTGTGGAGCGATCACTCACCGTCTCATCTGCTCCACCTCACCCCAGCCCCCTTTCCATTTCCAAGTAACCTTGACAACAGCGTCACTTCATTTTACTGTGATGGAGTGTGGAGGAGGAAGGGAAGGCACTGGGAGGTTGTAGCATGGAGGAGTCAGTCCCAGGGGATGAGCAAGCTAGTTTACGAGTGTACACCCCCACCCCCCAGAGAGCGATTACCAGAGGTCAGATCTCTGGTCTCGGGGCTGTAGCTCTGCTGAGTCCTCTGTGTGTAACCTGTCAAAGATCAGCTGCGTGACCTGAGTCCGTACGAGGTTTGTTGGGGTAGTTAGGAGGTAACAAGTGTCTGCTGCGTCTGAGCCTTTGGAAGATCAAGGTGAGCTTTAACATCTGTTCAAGAAATCAGATTTTCACATGTGTTGATTTGAGACAGCAGCTGTTCTCTGGAAATTAAAAGTTCTTCAAATATTTTCTTTTGTCAAAATTTGGTGGAAGTGTTTATCGCTGAAATGATGCTTGTTACTCGGGCGCGTGACCACCAGACCAGTTTAACATCAGCTTACGTTTGTAAATGAAGATGCTCTAGGGTTATGGTTAGGCAACATTATCACCACTCCTTTGAAGGGAACTCTGCTTTATTGTTTCACGTGTTTCACATTTATAGGCAACTTGAGATAGAGATGCTACTTGTGTCCTCATTTCCCAAACCTCTGCTGTCCTTTTCTTACCTTACTGTGTTTTTTCACAAGCAAACTACTGATGGTTTTTTAACTCTTCATTGCCTTCCATAAAATGACTCTAGAGTTACAGAAAGAAGCGTGTTTACATGAAGGATCTTATGGACACGTCATGATCAGTTTAACTAAAATGTTGTTTTGTGTTAAGAATAATTACAGAAAACTGTTTTATTTGCATCTTGTCCATGTGTAGCTCGTGAGCACACTTGCATGTGCTGCTGCCGTTGTCATGGCATCGTGTAAGATGCAGCTGCTGTGTGACGCATGCTCTCAGACAGTCAAAGCAGAACGGAAAGCCCGGTGGTTAAAAGAAGACCCCCGTTTGTAAGTAATGCTCTGTTTTTCCAGGCATGTTTATGTAAGGAAAGCGTTTGATCTAATGTCACAGTGGGGGGAGGCGAAGTCAGCCTGTTGTGAAGCATGTGGAATGGAATATTTTCCTATTTAAAGAAATGTTAATTATGGGAATACGGCATGTGTAGATTTACTCACAGCTCAGCTTGTTTACCTTTGAAAACTACTTTTGAGTCCCATGTCATCAATGATGTCACCTCCAAATTTCAGATACCCTCCAAAAAAAAATACTTTTAAGTTTCTCAACTGGTGTTAAGACAAAACACGTCAATGAAGTACAGACAAGTCCAGTTGCATACGAAAAATCATCTCCTTAACAAAACTGAGCCTGTTGATGAAGCGGTTGCCACAGCAACAGAAACATGTCCACTCCATCATATCTCACTTGCAGTTTATTGCAACAGGCAGCCTTGTGCTCTCTTTCTCTTGGTTGTAAAGTGCGGAGTTCGTTCACAGTTTGTGCTGCTCGGTAGCGAGGATTCTGCTTTTATAACCTCTCTGGCATAATGAATCCTTCGCGTCTCTGTGCATGTTATAGAGAACAGATGCAACTGCAGCATATAGCGTTGTGCACAGGGGTAGAAAAGGCACGTCAAGTGTTTCAGTGTGTTTTTATTTAACACTTCAGCCTCTGTTGACTAAATAGGAATTGTATTCTGTGTAGGAATTTCTCAAGATTGCAAGTTACAAACTATAGGGGTGCAGCTGTGCACTATGCCTGCAATTATGTGCTGTAATTCAAGCCCTGGAGAAGAATATGCTACGTTACAATGCTAACTGCTAAAAACATTAGCACTACAAAAGCTATTTGCTGTACAAGTTATGACACAAGAAAACAGTATAAAAATGTTTGCCTGACATTTTTTTGGCTGTGTTCAATAAAATGCTATTAAGTATTTAGTAAACCCTTACCTGTTAGAAAGGGATCAGGAAGTTTTCTTTTTAAAATATGTCTTTTGTGGGGCACTATTTTAGGAATAGGAAAAATTAAATGTTGGTCTTTGTTCCGATTTGCGCATTTGCAACTACCTAGTCATTTTGACTAGGGCTGAATGATTAATTGCATATGCAATTCAATTGCGATGTGACAAAAGCAGATTTTCTAATCGCAAAGGCTGTGATTTGATTGGCAGCGAGTGTTTAGCACAATGGTAATATACATGTAAAAACCCTTAGGGATGCTAATGCTAATATCGTTGATTATATTTTTACAAATTGCAAATCAGGAACTTGCCAAATGATTACATTTGGAGTCTAATAAAACATAAAAACTGCCATCAATCAAATAAGCACAGACAGATATTTTAGTAAAGCTAGAAAACTGTAAGAGACTTGAGCTCCACTGAGGTTTGCCTAGCAGCTATGAACGTAACTGAACTACGGAAGCCCTGCTTGGACAAGACGTCAAAAACTCTAAACACAAAAAACTTCAATAAATGTGACACACTTCTTTCCTGCAAATACATTTTTTACAATTGATGCTAATACCTATGCTCCTTTAAGGGATGTGCTCCTGGCTGCAAAGCATTGCACCTTCAAATACAAATTTGTGTCTTTACTTGTTAGTGTTTGTTTATGTAGAAAAATTTGTTGATATGATATGTAGATACATAAACTTGTTTATATTCAGTACAAGTTATATAGATTTTTTTGCTTCCGTTATTTGAAAAATATGAGAAAAGCCCCTTGAGAAAATATCCAGAATGAAATTACAATATTGAAGAAAAAAGTTGCATTTAGGTTACTTTTCAGAATCTTTCAGGCCTAATTTTGATCAGAGTAAATTGGGTTCTGTGCTGGCTACTTCCTGACCCCCCATCTGCATTTGGTGACATGGACGTTACGCCATGCGAAGCCAATAATTAATTATCTTAGCTTTAGCTTAGCATAAACAATATAAATGAATGGTAACAGCTAGCATTTCACGTGAAAAAGTCAGGAAAATTACTTAACGTCTATCCTAATTTATCTTGAGTACTTTATCATATTTACCGCAAATAAAATAATAAGTACCACGAATGTCCTTGCACCTTTGTCACAATGTAGTTCCAAGTCTAAGTCAACACCTGTATTTCCTTTATGTTACTTATTATATTCATTTGTAGTCAATGTTATTATTGAGGTCATCAAGAAAAATTAGGGCTGTTATTGAGAGTCATTTTCATGACTTTTTCCACACAAAATGCTAGCTTGCTGTTATGATAACACTTAGGAGTGAAATATCCCTTTAAACTCATGAAAGTGGTTTTTTATACATAGATGTCAGACCAACGTGCATGCACACACCAACCAGCAAACACTTTATCGCCCAACTTTTCCCCTTTAGGCAGCATTTGATGAGCATTTTGTACCGTTAGTCCAAAAAAGGATAAATGGGAGAATATTTATTTAAATAAACACAAATCCAAGGAATCTGCTGGTCCATTCCATTTATTGTCATTTTATTTGCAACAGTTGTGCAGATTTAAAGCTAAGATGCAGTAAAAATGGTCTATAAAGCTGCGGAGATAAAAGAAATTGTATTGGGGCATTCAATGGACAAAACAGCACTGACACATGTAAACTGTAACGCTATCCAACCTATCAATGAATGCCGCTGTAAAGCTTTTGTTATCTTCTCCATAAAATGCCATCTAACAGCATATTACTATATAGCACTACAGTGTTTCTGTTATACTGAACAGTAATGAAAACACTGACAGCATAATGTAACCCTGCACAACCCCAACTCAAACCACAGGCACAGAAACGATCGTATCACTCCTCTTATGCAGTCAACAAAAAGGGCATTATATTCCCAACAAAAGCAGCCCGTATTGCAGAACTGTTGTGCAGAATTGCAGTGGGATTTACAGATCTCATGCTACTTGTTTCACCTCCTGTTAGAAGACAGCCACCATTTAGGCAATGTATTGAACACAATGACAATTTTTCAAACGTGGCTCGTACAAGCTGCTCTGTACATAATTGGCTCGACATCGTGTGTGTGCGTTGGGGACAAAAAAAAGGCTGGTGATTATCAGTCAGGAGGATAATGGTCTTGTAAATTTGCATGACCAAGTTGGATAACGTCACCCTCGTTAGTTAATAATTGAGTGAGAGACTTTTACGCCTGAGCGAAGTTGAGATATTAGGCTGACTCGTTGAAATGTCAACAAAAGTGCTGCCAAAATACATCCCACTCCAGTACGGACACAAAACGCTAAACTTGCTGAAAACAAGAATCAAGCAAGTGTTTGGCTCAGGATTTATCCGTATACAAATCACGGGTAGCATATTGGACGCCTCATCTCTAAAACTGGCTGCCAACTTTTCAGAGAAGCTGCAAACACTGCAAGTTTATACACTTTAAATAATCCCAAATGTGTGTGTGTGTGTGTGTGTGTGTGTGTGTGTGTGTGTGTGTGTGTGTGTGTGTGTGTGTGTGTGTGTGTGTGTGTGTGTGTGTGTGTGTGTCCTTATTTTGTTTTTATTATTCTTATGCCTGTTCTGCCTTTTCCACTGTCTTGCTTCTGGCTGTTAGGAGCGAATATGACATAAAGGAGTATGTAAACATTTTTTGCTCGTGGCTACGTCACAGAACCAACACATACTTGAGCATCAGATGAATCAAAGCTGTGGCATGTGACTGTTCTACCCCTGCAGTCCCTCAATGCTTAGTTGAAAGGACCTGTAACCCAGCGTGAGCATCTTTTTTTCCTTCAGGAGACAACCTATAATGAGAAAGCCCCATTATGTGTCCAGCAGGAGCCCGAGCCTGTGCCGCTGCTTCCAACACCGTTACCCATGAGGTCTTTCTCTTTGTTAGTTAAGGGGAAGAGCAGCCGCGGACGTCCCTCGCTGTCTGCTTGTTAGCCCGCAGTAATGACTAGGCTGTGGGGAGCTAGGCAACAAGGCCAAGATGCGGGCAGCACTTTTCCTTTCTGCTGGCCGTCAGCTCACCGACAGGAAGGGGAACAGAAGCAGACAGCACGCAGGACACACTGGGAGGATCAGATCCAACCGACTGAGGAGGGGAGAGGGGATTTAAGAGGAGGAGATTTTACCTCCGGACAGATTGAGACCAGGCTAGACCATTATCGACACACACACACATACAGCCACACGGGGTCCAGCCAGCACCCTGGTGTTTGGCATATCAGTGCTAGCTAAGCAGATCAAGGATCAATGTGTAATTTGTACAGAAAAGGCCTCTTGGGTGTATGTGCTTCTGCAGGATCCTGTATGCATGAGGATGTGGTTAGAATTTCTAAAGCAAGTGGTCATTTGAATCAGGGAACGTTGGAAGAGTCTGCACTGGAGCAGAGGCTTTACCTGCACAATCTTTTATCTCTACCGAAAATAAAACAAACCCTGCTTTTGGCTTTTTTGTACTTAACAGCATTGTATAGATGCATTTCACAGTTTTTCATGTTTGTTTATGAATCCTCAGGATGTATGCTGTCACATCCTACATGCTGCAGTCGGGGGGTATTATGTTTTCTTATTGTATTTATGTCACAAGTGACCAGATCAATGATTTGCTGGCAGACACCTGAACCATCTGCATTGGGCGACGGCGACACAGGAGTCAAGTGCTTGCCCCGTAATTGGAAAGTTGCAGGTTCGAGCCCCGCTCAGTCTGTCGCTGTCGTCGTGTCCTTGGGCAAGACACTTAACCACCTTGTCTGCTGGTGGTGGTCGGAGGGACCGGTGGCGCCAGTGCTCAGCAGCCTCGCCTCAGTCAGTGCGCCCCAGGGCAGCTGTGGCTACTTTGTAGCTCATCCCCAAGTGTGTGAATGGGTGAATGACTGATTGTGTTGTAAAGTGCCTTGGGGCGTTCCAGGACTCTAGAAGGCGCTATATCAATTACAGGCCATTTACCATTTACCATTGGATAATAACAGGATAGAGGCTTTGTGGGGTTTTCCCATTGAAAGCAATGGAAATAATTAAAGGTGCAAAAATATAAAAGCATCAAATGCATTTCA